ATGGCTGCATGCTCAGGTTCATGATGAGCGATTCTCGGCCACTCCCTCCTAGGCGCACGATGACCACAAACATAGTGCTCGTGCGCATGCATAACAGAAAAGAAACATGCAGCTAACTAAATCTGGCGCGAGGATTAACTAACAATTCTCCTCCTAAGCTTTGCGCCGATTCTGTACATCATGGACCCCAATCAGAGAACGCAACTCACAGAAATGCTCCCGTGCCAGGGCTTTGGTCTGGATGTCCGCCAGCTGCTCTACAGTGCCGATTGCATCGATCTCCACCCTGCCTTCTTCAACACATTCTCGAATGAAATGATACCTGAGATCGATATGTTTGGAGCGGTCATGGAAGACAGGGTTTTTGCTGAGCGCGATGGCGGACTGGTTGTCTATCTTTAGCTTGACGACGCCGGCTTCCTCGCCCTTGAGCTCTGCGATCAGCCGTGCCAGCCAAATCCCCTGGCAGGCTGCAGTGGTTGTAGCTATATACTCTGCTTCACAGGAGGATAATGCCACAACTTTCTGCTTCTGTGATTGCCAGGTGATGATGTTGTTACCAAGGAAGAAGAGGACGCTAGTTGTACTCTTGAGTGTGTCAATGTAACCCGCCAAATCGCTGTCAGAGTAGCCGATCAGGCTGGTTTCCCCCTTCTTCTTCCTCTGGTACCTGCAGCCATAGCTCAGTGTTCCTGCGATGTACCTGAGCACTCGCTTGACTGCCCCAGATGCTCAGTGGTTGGAGCCTCCGTGAATCTACTCACATATCCCACCGAAAACGCCAGGTCCGGCCTTGAGTTCACCAAGGACCACAGCGACCCCACAATGCTTCTGTAAAGTGTAGGGTCAACAGCGGGGGCAGTGCTCAACTTACTGAGATTCAGGCGTGGCTCCATTGGAGTGCAAGTTGGATTGCACCCGGTCAGGCCTGCCATCTCCAGGATCTTCGCCGCATATGCGCTCTGGCACACAGTGATGCCCTCCTCCGACTAGGATACTTCCAACCCGAGGTAGTAGTGTAGAAGTCCCAAGTCGCTCATCTTGAAGGTGGACTGCATCTCCAACTTGAATTTGTCGATGTCAACTTGGCTCCCACCTGTGATGATGAGGTCATCCACGTACACCCCCACCACCAAACGGTTCCTTCCAGCACCACGGAGGTACACAGTGTGCTAAGAGCTGCTCCGCTGAAACCCGAGCTTGATGAGAGACGCATCGAGCTTCGCATACCACGCTCACGGAGCTTGCCGGAGACCATACAACGCCTTGACAAGATGAAGCACCTTGTGTTCATGACCCCGGAGCACGAAACCGGGGGGCTGCTCAACGTAGACTTCTTCCTACAGTTCGTCGTTGAGGAATGCCGATTTCACGTCCATGTGATGGACCGGCCATCCCTCACTGGCGGCGTGCACGAGCAGCAGCTAGACTGACTCGAGACGCGCCACGCGAGCAAAAACCTCATTGAAGTCGATCCCTTGGTGCTGCACATATCCCTTCACGATGAGTGGGGCTTTGTGCTTGGTGACGATGCCGGACGCGTCCTTCTTGGCCTTATAGACCCATTTGAGACCGATCGGCCGAGTATGGGGTGGCGGCTCAATCAGCCTCCAAGTCTCGCTTGCCTCGATTGAGGTCATCTCATCAAGCATGGCTTGACGCCAGCACTCATGGCGCATAGCTTGGTTGAACGTCGCCGGCTCAACGTCGCTGGCCAGAAGAAGTCGCTCCTCCAGGTCCCATGCGGCGTGCCCAGGTGGTGTAGCCTGCCTGAGAACATTATCGATGCACCTGAACCGTAGGGGTTCATCTTCGTTGTGGTCGTCGTCTAGTTGCTCGCTGATGCCAGAGCTCGGAGGAGTCGTGAACTCGATGCCAGGCTACGGCAGGGGGCTCGATGCAGATGGTCCCCCGGCCTACGAACCCGACACCGGTGTAGTCATGGACGCTTCCAAGTTGGGTGAGGGCAAACGAGATGTAGAGGAAGATGCCGGCGTGCTTGTTGTGGATGTGCTGGTGATGATCACCTCAGGCGCCTCCAGGTTCTCCTGCTCGATGGTGAAGTCATCGGGCTCGACGTCGTGCGTGGACGCCCAACTCCACTGAGCCGCCTCGTTGAAGATGATGTCGCGGCTGATGTGGACGCGCCGTGTAGCCGGATCATAGACGCGGTACGCCTTGGATCCTGGCTCGTACCCGATGAAGATCATGCAGCGGCTTCGATCGTCCAGTTTCTTCAGGTTTGGCGTCGTGTTCTTAACATGTGCCACACACCCGAACGTCCGTAGATGGTGTACACCGGGTGCGCTTCCCATCCATAGCTCGTATGGTGCCTTCCCACCAATACTCTTAGACGATGATCTATTGAGTAGGTACACGGCGGTGGTGACTGCTTCCCCCAGAAAATGCCGGGAAGGCCCTTCGCCTTGAGCATGCTCCTGGCCATCCCCACGACCGACTGGTTCCACCGTTCCACAACCCCGTTTTGCTGTGGAGTATACGGGGTTGTGAGCTCACGGTGGACGCCAAGTTGTGTGCAGTAGTCGACAAAGTTTGCTACCGCGAACTCACCACCATGATCGATTCTCAGCGCCAGCAACTTCTTCCCAGTCTTGCGCTCAGCGACGGCTTGGATACACTTGATCACCATCGCGGCTTCATCTTTGGAGGGAAGAAGGCACACCCACATATATCATGAATAATCATCCACGATAAGAAGGAAATACCGGTTCCCGCTAGGAGTCGCCGGTGTGATTGGGCCGCACAAATCGCCATGGAGGAGTTGGAGTGCTTCTGTCGAATGCCGTAGCGCCTTCTATGCGAACGGGGTGCGGCGCTGCTTCCTGGCCAGACACGCCTCGCACACCTGCTCCACCTGAATGATGGGCGGCATGCCGCGAACCAGCTCCTCCCGCACCATCTTCCGAAGTGCGGTGAAGTTGATGTGGCTGAAGCGTGCGTGCCACGTCCATGAGTCGTCGTTGGTGCGCGCCGCCAGGCAGACTGGACGTGCGATGGTGACGTCGAGCACATACAGCCTGTCGGGGTTGCGCGGGATCTTCGCGAGAAGGCGTCTGTCCTCGTCATGAACGTGCATGACTCCATCCTCCACAAGCACCTGGTAGCCTCCCTCATCGAGCTGGCTGACGGAGATTATGTTGGCGGTGAGCCGCGGCAGGTAGTAGACGTTGGGGAGAGACCTGTGCTCCCCGTTCTTGCACTCCAGTAGGGCGGTTCTGCTTCCCTTGATCTGGGCGACGGAACCATCCCCAAAGCGCACGGACCCAGAGACAGCAGTGTCAAGATCGGCGAACGCCGCGCGCGATCCGAACATATGGTTCGAGGCTCCGATGTCCAGGATCCAGCGGCGTGGGTCCCAATCCTCAGCGGCGTCGAAGGTGGTGAATACCTTCTGCTCGACGATGTGGAGCACGGTGTTGCCATGGATCGTTGGGGATCCAGGGCGTGGCGGCGCCGGCGCCGGCGCAGAGAAAGGGAATGAGCCCTCTGGCTCTTGGGTTGGTCCGACGGCCAACATGAGAGTGGGCTCGTCGTCCTGGGCCACATGGGCCTGCTCCTCCTTCTTCTTGCTCCTGCAATCTTTGGCCCAGTGGCCCACCTTACCATAGTTCTTGCAGGCATCGGCCTGGCTCGCCTTGCCAGAGCCGGAACCAGCCCTGGTATCGCCATCGCCGCCGGTGCCGCGTCCTCGGCCGCGACCGCGACGCTTGCCACGACCTCCGGAACTAGAACCGCCATGACTCGACTCCGTGTTCTTCTTCTTGTAGCGCTCCACCAACTGTTCCTTAGTGAGCAGCAGTTTCCCGCTCGTGGTGTGTGCCGGCGCAGGCTCGACATCATCGGCCGCCTTCAGTCTCCCCATCACCTCCTCAATTGACAGTGTAGAGATGGCAAAAAGGGTTTCGATTGAGATTACCAGCTGCTTGTACCGCGGGCGGACCACACGAAGGTACTTGGCCACGACTTTCTCATCGGGTTCAGGGTCACCGAGCGTCGCCAGCCGCTGCACGATCCCCGTCAGCCTCAGGGCAAAATCTTCAATGGCCTCCCCTTCACGAAGCACGATGGATTCGTACTCCGCATGGAGATTCTGAGCTATCGCCTTCCGCACCCAGTCGTCGTCGATGCGGAGGGTACGGATCGCCTCCCAGGCCTCCTTGGCGCTCGCTTTGGTAGCGAGAGCAGGCACCATGTCTTCTAGAATGGCGCTGCAGATCGCGTCGAGTGCGCTGCGGTCTTCATCGAACTCGACGTCCTCGAACTCGACGGCGTCCCAAAGGTGGCGTGCTTGCATCTTCAGCTTCATCCGCAGCGACCACTCATTGTAGTTTGTCTTCGTCAACTGTGGCCAGTTGGCGGAGCCGCCGCCCTCCCTGATGATGCGCTCGATCACCCTCTCCCGTGGACGACGTGCATCCCAGGTGCGCGAGCGACGTGCGTCGCGCGTGCGCGATCTGCGCGGTGGTGAGCGACTTGGGGAGGGGGCGAGTGGCGGCGTCTTTGTGCCGGAACCGCCAGAGCCGTCGTGCTTCTTGTCGTCGACCTTCCCGGCCGGTGAACGGCCGCGGGGCCTCGTTGGAGACGCCATGGCGACGATGAGGTCCCTTGAACTCTAGCTCTGATGCCACCTGTTGGAAACCGCCCGACGGTGAACACCGACGGCGAGGACACCGAGCCGGAGAAGATGATCAGTGGAAACACAACGCGAGAACACTTGGTCACAAGAATTTGGTGCTGCCTAAACAACCGCAACTTTTCTGATCTTCTATTCTCCAATTTATTGAAAACGTAGAGTGTAGAGCAATGCAGCCACAGCGCTAACGTCGCGGGTAGTGCGCGTCCATCCCCACGCTCCGCGTCCGTCGGCCATGGCTGCATGCTCAGGTCATGACGAGCGATTCTCGGCCACTCCCTCCTAGGCGCACGGCGACCACAAACATAGTGCTCGTGCGCATGCATAACGGAAAAGAAACCTGCAGCTAACTAAATCTGGCGCGAGGATTAACTAACATGGAGGAGTGGAACGAGGAGGTCGAGAGGCGTGGGGACGGGGGCGGGAGCGGCGTGGAGAGGTAGCGCGAGCTCACCTCGCGGACAATGCGGCAGCGGCGGCGAAGGCGCGCGGGCGCGGCTGATGGGAGCGGCTCGGAGGTGGACGAGGTAGGTACAGGCATCTCGGTCACCGGCGACGCAGTGGAGGACGAGGCGGTGGCCATTGATTGAAGGAGACGCCTGCCGAAGTGCCGATGGACGTAGCCGCAGCCCGCAACAGCCGTACCGTATATGGGAGCAAGGGCGTGGGTGGATCATCCAAAAACCCAAACAGACAAGGGCTCAGGGCTGCGTCCGCGCCTCGGTGCTCGGTCAGAGCCAGGGGGCAGAGGCTACGGAACATGCAACTCACTCAAGTCGTCCGTGGCCAGGGTTCGTTCGAAATCTGAAATGGTGAAAACATTTGGACCCAATCGAATCTCGAAAATTTTGGTGATTGTAGATCAAGATTCACTTATTTATACCCGTCGAAATATCATTAAAGACCTACTAGCGCAGCACCTTAGATAAGACAGTTCCAAATTACAAGTTGCTGTGTTTTTTCTAAATATATAGCTTTTACTATGCATTTATATATATATATATATATATATATATATATATATATATATATATACTATATCTAGTAAAAACTATAGATTAAAAAAATTAAAACAACTTACAATTGAATGAAATGAAAAAAATATACTTAGCTATGTCACAGAATATGCAAAAGGTCAGTACGCAGGCCACTAAAAGGCCCGAAACTTAGCAACCCCACGATTGAATCAAACCCCATCATTCCACCGGGGTTGATAATTGTTATAAAACAGGTTGTGAACGGTTAGGACATCCCCTCTCCGTCTCTCATGATAAACATAGTGGATGAAAGTAGAACACATAGACATAAGAGATAGAGAAACTATTTTTTATTTCTCTCAATATTGGTGATTACAACATAGAGCTCTCACATATATGCTGGTCACAGAATAAGTTATTCTGTGGCCAATTTGAGTTACGATAATTACTATACTAATTTATGAGATTATGGTAACCTCCTCATAAGTAATTTACTATAGCATTATGGTAAGTATCATATTAAATTATAGTAACTCATGTATCGTAAATGTGTATTGTCATTATCGTAAATTGGTACAAACATTATCGTAAATTAAGGTGGCCATAGAATAAGTTATTCTATGATCAGCTGTAGAATAGCCTTACCGTGTGTGTTGCCAAGGCTTAAGAGTTTTGGTAAGAACCCACATACAAATGGACTATGATCATGATTTCTTCTTCTCCTTTTCTTCCAGGATAGAGTCCATATGTTTTACAACAATAACGACAATAAAGCCTCCTTTTAAGAATCTCCATTGTATGCTCCACCTCACACAACACATAATAAAATAAAAGAGCACATCTACATACAATCTAAAAACAAACAATGTTTCTCGCTTTCGAAAGACACCAACAAACAACTGCCAAAGCGTACATGGTTTTTGTCATGTGGAAGACTGATTAATTCAGACTCAATACCGGTTGAAAGGAGATGGATCTACATTCAACCCCGGATGTGTGGGTAATGAGACTCCACACATATCTTGCTATGGGACGTAAAAAAACTGATGCATTACCGATTCTTTATCGGTACAGAAGGCACATCAGTTCTCTCCTCTCTAATTAGGTTTGATTAGGATGTCTTTGTTTAAAATTGCATTCTTCAAGGTTAAAACACATGAGAATTTTGATTTTCGGTGGCAACTTGGCTTTTCAGATTGGCTTACAATTGGTGCCATAATCAGTATTGCATACATGTGCTTGTAACTTGTAAGGATGTTTTTAGTAGAGAGTTTTATAATGTTTGTTTTAAAAATATATAGAATTCAATGAAATATGGATGAAATCATCATCCTCAATGTATAGTTTTTTTTCTCTTTTTCATATATATTTAATTATATGACTCAGCCAAAGTTGGATAAGAGTTTCATCTTACATAAAACTCACGTCTTCTCTCCTTTTAAAAACGTCATAAAAATAGTTATGTACTCCCTCCATCCAGAAAAGAATGCAATTATGAGATCCGTGCTGGTCAAAGTAGCTCAAGTTTGACCAAGTTTATAGCAAACAATATTAATATTTATGTTTTCAAATAAATTATTATGAAAATATATTCTATGACTAATCTAATGATACTAATTTTGCATCAGAAATGTTAGTATTTTTTATATAATTTTGGTCAAAGTTTAAACCGATTGACTTCTCAGGAAACGAGAATTGCATTTTTTTTTACTGAGGGAATACATATAATAAAACTCTCCCACTATAACTAGTCTAAGAGGATCTAACAGATAGCTGTCCAGATTTTCCAATCCTAGCTCTATCTTTTTCCTTAATAGAAGAGGAAATCTTGCAACCTCCTGGTACCCTCTAGTTAATTGTTTAAAACTTTGACTTCAAAAATAATGCTGCGTTGAATGTTTATAGATAGAATTAGTTGGAATTATTATTATATCTACTAGATCTTGATAGCTTTAACTTGGCAATTGATTTCGTAATATCTTATATTTTAGATTACACAGTGCGCTCACAACACGCACGCACAATCACCCCTATGAACACACGTACGCAAATTTTACCCCTATGAGCACCTCTGAAGCACTGAGCCGATAAATCTCGAGATTCACGAAGTCACCACTGGCGCCTCGCTGTCGACGGGGACGTCGCCTACCTCTGAAAGCATAGCACCGTTACATTCTGAAAATAAATCCAAAAAATACGAACATCCGTGTCAAGCTGAGAACTTGCTGATGACTAACCTGGGTTTCACCACAAGCAAGCTAGTAGCCACAGCCAAATTTTTTATTTTTTAGCCCTTTTTTGAAAGTTTTTCACAAATACGCCCCTAGAGGAAAGATTTCAGAATCTAGACCCTTAGCTCGGCGCCATCGATGCCGGCGCCGAGCTAACACGTCTCAGCACCAGCGTCCCTGGCGCCGAGCTCTTGGGCTTGAGACCCATGTGGAGGTGACATGGCAGGGAGCTCGGCGCCAGTCACCCTGGCGCCGACGTCGAGCTCGGCGCTGTAGATCTTGGCGCCAAGCTCGACGCCAGGGTGACTAGCGCCGAGCCTTTATTACGTATGGGCCCCAATCCTTTCTCTCTTCCTCTCCCCCCATCTCTCTCGCATCTCCCTCGCCCGAGCCGAGCAGAGCACCGCCGCCGCCGCTCCCGGAGCCCGCGCGGCCTCGCTCTCGTCCTCGCCGACGCACGTCGGAGCCCACCACCGGCCGCCCGCACCGCGCCCGGAGCCCGCGCCGACCGTCGTCTCCGCCCCGCGCCCAGGCCGGCCGCCCATCGCGCTGGGCCCGCGCCCCGCTCCGCGCTGGCCCCGTGGCACCGCCGACCGCGCCCGCCATGCGCGCGCCGCGCCGTGCCACGCCGGCGTTGTGCCCGCCGTGCATTGACCGTGCTGTGGCCATGTCGCGCCCGCGCCGTGTCGCTTGGCACCGTCATGTTGTTCCGTGGCGCCCGCTCCCGGCCTCGCCTAATTGGCTGCCCGTGATGGGCTCCCACCATGCCGCCTGCGCCCGCCATGTGCCACTGCCGGCCCCAGCACCTACAGCGGCCGGCCGTGCCACCGCCAGCCCGGCTCGTCAGCCTGACCCACGCCCGGCGTCCGCTGCGACTCCGTCGACGTCCACGGATCAGTCGTTGCAAAGGTAAAAATTGTGAATATGCATTGTACCAAATTAGTTGGCATTTGTTATTTACTAGTTAATGCGATAACTTAGGTAGTTGATTTAGTTAGTGATCTTGTGAGATATATATGTAGATAGATAGAAACATAGATATATAGGTACATAGATATAGTTAGATAGCTACTTACATAGGTAGTTACATATTTAGTTAACTAAATAGGACCTAACTATTTAGTTAGTACACTGTATCTATGTATGTAGTTGTTATCTTATTTACTTAGTTTGTAGTTAGAAAGTACTTGTTAGGTACTATCCATCGTCTAGTTTGGACGAAATGACATGTGTTTCGTTATGTGTTTGAACTAGATGGACAACCTAGTAACCATATATCATGGAGGCACCGTTGAATACGATCGCTATAGATATGTTGAGTTTGTTGACATGCAAAGCGTGCCTGTGCTATTCAATGATAGACCTTTATTTAGTAAGATGCTTGCATGGGCTCGGGAGGAGCTGCATTGCCTTAGAGATGATGGCATTGCAGTTGATGGTGTACTGCACCTAGGTTCTCCTCCCAACATCCTCAGGCGAATGATCCCAATTGGTTGTGCGGATCAGTGGAAGAACTATGTGAGATCGGCTATGAAGAGCCAGCTGCAATGTTTAGACGTGGTTGTGCGTCGGGTGTTAGTTGATCCCATCCCTCATGGGTTTTTCCCACCAATGGGTCAGCATGCACACATCGATCCTCCCATCCCGGAACCTGATATGGATGTGGAGGTTGCACCTACGGTTTCCGATGCTTAATCTGCCCCCAATGCGGTAGTTGGAGATGCTTGTCAGACTCATGTTGTTGTGGCAGATCCTCCTCATGAGATTCTTTTGACACAGAATCATCCGAGTAAGTGTCTTAACCGCATGCTTATTGGGAGCTTACCCTCTTTCTTACATCCATTTCTTTCATTCTTTTCTCATTTCTCTACTTATGTTGCAGGAGACATTCCTGAGAATATGGATATGCCCCCTATTGCTGCGCAAGTGCACTTTGGAGATAGATTCCATGGCTCCAATAGTGTTGAAATTATGCATGATTCAGAGCCATATGAGATGGCAAGGGCTCTTGATTCTGATGATGATCACCCAGCTAGAGAGCTGACAGAGAGTTCACAAGTTCAGCGATCTTGCTCATTTCGATCAGGCATGTGCAGAAGGACGTGATGATGAGCTCCTAGAAGCTCTTGAGGCCAGCCCTAACATGGTAATTGAGAATGGGAGGGTGTTCAATGACCTCCCTACATTGAAGAGGTGGTTGTAGGTGTTTGCAGTGATACGAAAGAGACCTTACAAGGTCTTGCATTCATATGCGGAGCGCCATTACATAGTTCTGTGGCAAGGAACGCTGCCCATGGAGGGTTTGTGCAAGGAAGCAAACAGTCACCGGAAAGTGGAAGATCACAAAAGTTGTTGGGCCACACAATTGTGCTGACCATGAGCTGACACTAAGGCATCGGCAATTGACATCTACCCTCATTGACAAGCGGTTGATGGAAATATTGCATGGAGAACCCAACATGAAGGTGAGGACAATTATTAAGACCGTTGAGGCATTGTATGGAGGTTATGTGATAACTTATGGTAAAGCTTGGAGGGCTAAGCAGCGAGCGTGGAAGATGATATATAGGGACTGGGAGGATGGGTACGAGCAGCTACCAGTACTTTTCAATGCAATCAAAGCAGTGAATCCAGGCATGCATTATGAGTACATCCCAAAACCAAATGCATAGAAGGATGGGAGGCAGATATTCTTCCGTGCTTTCTGGTGCTTCCCTCAGTGTGTCGAGGCCTTTAGGCACTGTCGTCCCGTCCTCTCCATTAATAGTACGTTCTTGATTGGCAAATATCAGGGCACACTTCTTATAGCCATATCCTATGACGTGAACAACAAGTTGGTTCCTTTGGCATTTGCTTTGGTTGAGAAGGAGAACAATGATAGTTGGGGATGGTTCTTGAGGCTAGTCCGGATACACGTGGTTGGGCCTGGCAGGAAGGTTGGCGTCATATCTGATAGGCACCAGGGCATACTTACTGTCTTTCGAGAGCAGATAAAGGGGTATGCACCTTTGCACCATTGTTGGTGTACTCGACACCTTGTCGAGAATCTACTCTGGAAGGATGGTGTGAAGGGTAACTTTGATCTGTTCCAGGAGGCTGCTCGACAGCTTGAGGACAAGTACTTTCAAAAAAAGTTGGAGTAGGTCAGAACCGCATCAAATGTAGAAGGTAGACAATGGCTCACAGGTTTGATGAGGGATTTGGAGAAATGGATGAGAGCTCACGATGCCGGTGGATGGAGGTATGAGTTTTAGTGTAGCAACGTGGCAGAGTCATTCAATAAGTTGCTATTAGGGATACGTGGTTTGCCCATGAATGCAATCGTTCAATTCACCTTCTATAAGCTTGTTGTCTGGTTCAACGATAGACATGCCCATGCATTGAAGTTATGGAGTGATGGAGAGATATGGGCTCCGAAACCGAAGGCACACCTAGAGAAGGTAAATGAAAGGGCTGGCACACATGAGGTTACATGCTTTGATCATGCCACAGGGACTTATCAGGTTGAGAATAGGGGCGGTACAAAGTCCAACGATGAGGTTCGAGAGTCGAGGATGCATGTGGTTGTCCTCCAAGATTTTTAAATGCACTTATGGTAAACCAAGGCAGTACCACTTTCTTTGTTCCCATTTAGTGGCAGCAGCTAGGCATCGCAACTATAATATCAAGAGCAGGATACCTCACGAGTTCAGTGTCGACACGCTTGTGTACACATGGAGCCCCCGCTTCGTGCCTTTTTGGCCCCTTGGAGAGTGGCCTCCATATGATGGGCCGAAGTACATTGTGGATTTAGCTTATCGTTGGAACAAGCGTGGATCAAGAAAGAGGACGAGGCACAGGATGGTTATGGATCAAATACCCGGAAGAACGAGGCGTGGAAGAGGAACCCCATTTGTTACTGACCCCGAGCAGTACGAGTGCGGCAAGTGTGGTAGACTTGGCCACAAATCACGAAGTTGCCATTGGCAAATTAATGAGGTGCGATTATTGGTTGATTATATTATTTAATATTTGTCGTATTCATTTAATTAATTATGCATGTAATTGTGTCAATTACTTGTATATTTTTAAGTTCATGTTTCATTGCATATTGAATTTCTAATTCATTGACTTTTTTTGTAGGATGGCGTAATTTCACCTGCTTGACCCAACGTACGAGGAGACCCACTGAGGACGTCTCATAGCGCAGGAGCAGGTAATAATCTATACGTTTTGTTCAAATTTTGTTGAGTGTACATGTGTTCGTGAAGTAACAGGAGACTATGTTTTATTCTATGCAGGACCTTCCGCTCCTTCGTCCTAGAACCCATAGTGGGTTCTTGGACATGCGGTACGACGACAGGTACACTCCTTTCCTACAAAGAGCTGGCCTGGATGTCATCTCTTTTTAGGTTCATCGTGGGTTGCCCAAGTTCAACTCAGCGGCCATAACTGCGTTGGTTGATAGGTATTATATTCAATCATTGCCTCCATTCATGGTCATTTATTTATGCGCTTGCCTTTTTGACATGTAATCTTGATTTGTCTAAAATATAGGTGGCGGCCGGAGACTCACAGCTTTCACCTACCTTTCGGGGAGATAACAATCACGCTCTAGGACTGTCAGAAGATGCTAGGCCTGAGGATTCACGGCAACCCAGTCACCGGACAGTGCAGGTTAGAAGGCTAGAGAGCACGAGTGGAGGCCTTCCTTGGGCGTGAGCTTGGCGAGCAAGGGGCTCGCACTTCTGGAGTTCTCATCTCCTGGCTCCAGCAAGAGTTTGCACAGTGCCCTGAGGAGGCAGATGAGGAGACAGTTGGATACTACTATAGGGCATGGATCCTACACCTGTTTGCCTATGTTCTCTTCCCCGACGCCACGGGTGATACTACGTCCTGGATATGGGTCCACTGCCTTAGTGACTGGGACCAGGCGGGTTACTACAGCTGGGGTTCTGTAGTCTTGTGTTTTCTATACCGGCAGCTATGCGAGGGATGTCGTCGGACGTCGTCCAACGCGTCACTTGGTGGATGCGTGTACCTGCTACAGCTGTGGATGTGGGCTCATCTTCCAGTTGGCTGTCCAGAGGTTCTGGCTCGTCATGAGTGGTTCCAATGTCAGCCTCCAAGTCGGCAGCCAACGTGGGCGTACCTTTGGGACCAGGTCAGGGTTCCATACGCGAGGTTAGAGCGGGCGTACATTGAGTTCACGAATGAGCTAGACACGCTGACGGCGTCTAGTGTAAGTAAATTTTATTTCCCATGCTAGTTTGAAATGGATTAGTATACCATCTAACATATTATTTGGATATGTTGCTGGTGGAGTAGGAGTCATACGATGGAGAGGGGGCACTTCCTTTTCAATTGAGCAACGTTTGTGGGTTTGACGACGACTTCTATAAGATGAGGTGCCCTCTAATCTGCTTCTATGCTGTCGAGTTCCACCTGCCAGATAGAGTTGCACGCTAATTTAGAGTGAGACAGCTTTGGCCTACGGCTCCATTCTTGATTGGCGTTGACTTACACAAGTAAGCATTTTGCTATTTCAAATATCTCTTGATGGTCCATTTCTATTAATATGGTAACATGTACATGGATTCAAGTAACAATGACATACGTGCAACTTGAAGTGCTCACATGGATGTCTTCCTCTAAACCAATCGTCGAAAAGGAGGTACTTAGGATCAAACTTGTCTGCACCATCGATCCACTGAAAGAAAAAGCACCTCTCATGGTCCTACACAACGTGATTCCAACAAAATATTAGTAGCATAGTTACACAAATAAAGAAAAAAGATAGTGAAAACAATTTCTTACATTAAAACGACTGCATGTATAGAAGCACCGCGCCGCTGTGTCCGGATGTTTTGATTGAAAAACATGGGCCGGGAAACCATAGTCACAGTTAGGGACAGGGAGGTCAGGAGGGACGGGGGCATCTTTGCTAGACGTGTCGGGGTATAATTCTCGAGGACGACCCCGTTTTCGCCAAAACTCCTCCCGATACATTTCTTGCATCTAACAAAACGAATATAATTTAACAAACAAAAATCAAAACATCATAAATAAATGTCAATGAGAACCATAACTACAATGCAACCAATTTCGTTCTAAGAACCAAAAGCAATTAACATTAAACCCTAAACCTAGGGTTTTCCATTTGATGCACAACAATAAACCCATAACATAACTACATGTGCCTAGGTTTGCTAGCTTTTTCACGTCTTGGCATCATCCTACGATTGTATAATACAAATATTAAGGGATAGAATGAAATCCTAAGTAATGATGATTCTTAGGTTAAAAAATCCGACTAATATATACCGAATCGATGCGAAAAAAATTAGGAGGGGAGCGAGGATACCTTGCTCTCGAAGATCTACGGATCAAATCAAAGTTTTCAAAATCTAATATGTCGATTCATGAGATAGAGCGAAGTGGGGAGAGAAAAAACCCGAGAGGGAGAAGAAAGAAGAGGAAGAAGGCTCGGGCAAGAAGGTTGGGGCCGGGGTTAAAACACAAGCTCAGCGCCAGTCACCCTGGCGCCGAGCTCCCTGCCATATCACCTCCATATTGGTCTCGAGCTCAAGAGCTCGGCGCCAGGGACGCTGGCACCGAGACGTGTTAGCTCGGCGTCGGCATCGATGGCGCCGAATTAAGGGTCTAGATTCTAAAATTTTTCTTCTAGGGACGTATTTGTAAAAAACTTTTAAAAAAAAACTATAAAAAATAAAAAATTCGGTAGCCACGGTCACGGAGGATCTTGGGTCTTGGCGCCTAGCAGCAAGCTGTTGCTTAGCATGGAAGCAGAGCCTCTCCTGGATCTGGAGCGTCTTGCTGTCCAGCAAAATACCCGAAAAACACCCTGCAAGACATGGACAACACCCCGGTCAGCGATCAGCCCGCAGCCCCCCCCCCCGGTTTCTTCCTCGGGGAGTCTCAAGTCTCAACCCAAGTGGACCTACTGACACCGACCATGGCCACCGCCGACATCCGCGTCTCCATCGGGTACCAGACCCGCTTCGCGCTCCGCCTCGCCGCCGCGCTCTCCTCCCCTTCCGCCTCCCCCGCCGTCCCCGCCAGCAACGCCGCCTTCTCCCCGCTCTCCCTCCACGTCGCGCTCAGCCTCCTCGCCGCCGGCGCGGTCGGCGCCACGCGCGACCAGCTCGCCGCCACCCTAGGAGGAGGCGACGCGCCCGCCGCGGCCGAGGGCCTCCACGCGCTCGCCGAGCAGGTGGTGCAGCTCGTGCTCGCCGACGGGTCCGGCGCCGGCGGCCCGCGCGTCGCCTTCGCCGACGGCGTCTTCGTCGACGCGTCTCTCAAGCTCAAGCCGGCCTTCGAGGAGGTCGCCGTGGGCAAGTACAGGGCCGACACCCAGTCCGTCGATTTCCAGAAAAAGGTTGATCCCCTTCCTCCCGAGCTCCTGCTTAAGACTTGCGAACTGCTAATTCCACAATAGTTCTTACAGTAACGCGCAGTGGTGGAGCTGCATCTGTAGCTGCATTAATATGTTCTGATCACAGCCAATATTTAGAAGTCACTAGAATATTTAAATAATGTGGATATGCAGTTGAATGTATCACCATTTTCTCCAGTAGATTTCTGCCGCGGTCTCTTGTACTATGCATATATTGTTGTATCTTGACCGTTTAGATGATTATAGTCATGTGAACTGTCTCTTGTTGCATATAATCTCCTTCTCATATGAATGCTCTGTGATAATGATACTACACTAATGCTTGGTTGACTTCTCAATTTCTAATGTCTGTTTAAGTTGGTGGCACATTAATATATAATGGTTACCTCAGTTTCTTTACATACTTATATTGTTGCACTATTTCAGTTATTTTGGAAACTTCAGGATGATTTTGTTTTATGCTTTTAACATAAGTATGAAGCACTGATATATTCTCTCTTATTGGTCGGTCAGGCTGCTGAAGCTGCTGGTCAAGTGAACTCGTGGGTAGAAAAAATTACTTCTGGCCTCATCAAAGAGATTCTCCCCCCAGGTTCTGTTGACCACACCACCAGGCTTGTTCTTGGTAATGCGCTCTATTTTAAAGGAGCTTGGACTGAGAAGTTTGATGCATCTAAAACAAAAGATAGTGAGTTCCACCTTCTTGATGGGAGCTCAGTTCAAGCACCTTTCATGTCCAGTACGGAAAAGCAATATATTGTGTCTTACAACAACTTGAAGGTGATTAAGCTTCCATACCAGCAAGGTGGGGACAAGAGGCAGTTCTCCATGTACATTCTTCTTCCAGATGCAAAAGATGGCATCTGGAGCTTGGCTGAAAAATTGAGCTCTGAACCAGAGTTCCTGGAGAAGCATATCCCAATGCGGAAGGTTCCAGTTGGACAGTTCAAGGTCCCCAAGTTCAAGATATCCTTTGGATTTGAGGCATCTAAATTGCTCGAAGGTCTTGGGCTCCAGCTTCCGTTCAGCGCACAAGCAGACCTATCAGGGTTAGTTGATTCACCTGAGGGACAGAACTTGTCTGTTTCGTTCATATTCCACAAGTCATTTGTTGAAGTGAATGAGGAAGGAACGGAGGCTGCTGCCGCATCTGCTGAAACAATTGAGCTCCGGTCATCGTCGATGCCTCAGGATTTCGTCGCAGATCACCCCTTCCTGTTCCTGATCCGAGAAGACTTGACCGGCGTGGTGCTGTTTGTCGGCCATGTGGTGAATCCCCTCCTTGCTCCACAGCGTGTTTGTTCTAAAAAACGTGGCCTTGGTGCAATTCCATCCTGTCTGCGCAAATGCATGGGCTGTGACAAGTGATCAAGCTTCCTGTGCAATCTGCCATGTTTTGTTTTTGAATAAATAGATGCTTGATCGATGTATGTAAGGTTGTGAGATGATAGTTCAGAATTGGTATGTATGGTCATGGACTCATGGTACTTACTGTTCCCCCCTTCCACTCTGATGTTTGTCGTTCTAGTGACCTTTTCCAGTGAGCGCTGTAATGACATATAGATTCTTTAAAACAAGAAAGCAAAACACATCATATGCTCCTAACCAACTTAGCCACAACACTTTGTTGATGATTTCTGGTTTCTGGTAAAATATGAAAGGAAAATATTGAGTATAAGGCTGTCAACCTAAACGTAAAATAGGTCGTTCACAGTGTTTTGAGTACCAAAAAACACGCTCCAACAGAAGACCTAAACAGAGGACACATTTTGCATCCGAGGCTAGCCAGAACGTAAAAAAGCGTCGTCGAGGAGAGACGACGCAAAAATCTTGCGCCCGTAGTGGTGGGCCCGTGGACGAGATGATGGCGAGAACCGCGGCGGGGCGCTACCGGCTCGGCGAGGAGTTGCGGCGCCCCAGGACGTCCCCATGCTGCATCCCTCGACGCCGGACGCTGCGAGAGGATGCCACCAGGACAGATCTCGTGGGGGAACGAACCGATCCGGCCATGGAAGCCCTGGATCCGGTTTTGGAGGCCCCAGATCGACCCAGCAAAGAACGGCGACAAGCACAGACCGACGCTTGACCCCAGCACCGGCGAAATAAGGAGAGGAGGAGCAAGGGAGAGAGGCCACAACGTCGAGCCGGGGCGCGCTCGCCCCTGGGGCGCCGCCGCGCCAGGGGAGGGGGCGCTCGCCCTAGCGCCGCCGGCCGACCCCGCACCGGCGGGAGGGGTGCTCGCCCGTCCGCCGTGTCGCGCCGAGGTCGGATTGGGGGAGGCGGAGGAAGCGACGAGAAGCGTCGGGAAGAGAAGAGGACGACGGTTTTTGTTTGAAGTGGACGAGGGTATGGGGCGGCGCGCGGCCAGGCTCGCCGCCGCAAGAGGCGCGGGGCTAGTCTCGCCGGCGGAGGGAGGAAATTTTGGGTTCGCCGTTGGAGAAAGGAAATTTTAGGTGGGTGACCCAGTGACTGTTCGTGACCCAATCCTTAGAATGGGTCTTGTGTTTGTGTTTGGGCTATTGGAGATAGTCTAAGATACAATAGAAATTAGAGTTTGAACTTAACACCTGGGTAAAAAAAGGTTGAAAAACCAAAACATAGTTTCATGAACGTCAAAAAAATGCAACAACTGGCTGAAAGGCTGTAAATCATGGAGGTTGCAGAAGCCTACTTCAGTGAGCTGGTGAGTAGAAGCATGATTGATCGGGCTGCCGATATAGTCACCTACTATGATGGGAGAGAGGAGACGTGCCGGGTGCACGACATGATGCTTGAGGTCATGGTAACCAAATCGCTAGAGGCGAACTTTATTGTAAGCCTGATAGGTGGGCAGTACGAAGGGATGTCATATGATAGGGTTCGCCACCTCTCCATCCATGCCGGGGAAGGGCCATCATCGATATCGTCATCCATGAAAACAGCGGCAGCGCGTGGTAAGAGGAATAATGGCACCAATAGGATGAATGTGCAGCATGTTCGATCACTAAGTATGTTTGAGTTTGAAGGGCACCATCTGCATAGTCGGCTAGGTGAGTTCACCCTGCTGGCGCTTCCACTGAGGTTGCTTACTGGCGCTTCCACTGGGAAGCGCCCAAGGGCCTAAGGAAAATGAGGGCACTGCGCAAGGTGAACAATGCGTTGTCACATCCAACACTGAGGTTGCTAAGGAGATCGCCGAGTTAGGGCAACTGCAAGAGCTAACTATCTTTGTTCCCAGTGGCATTCCTCGGGATGTTACGGAAGTGCTTAATCACTCCCTGAGCAGGTTATACTCCCTCCGATTCCTCAACGTCGAAATTTTCGGCAATAGAAAGGAGGAGAACTTCCTACACCACCTCGAGTCGCGGTCGCCGCCGCGGCTCCTCAGATACCTCAGGATGTGTGGTTCCCTTCTTGGTGGGCGTACGCTGACTCACTGGGTTGGGTTACTGACTAATCTTGTTGAGTTTGTGATAGCTTGGGCATACCTTCATGGTGACACCCTATTCGACGTCCTGTGTAAGTTGCCCAACCTGAAGAAGCTCACCCTTGAGACAAACTTCTACGCAGATACAGATCGAGATAGTTGCAAGGACTACCCAATCCTTTCCGGTGCTTACGGAGCTGAGAATGTTCAACAATCATGGAATTCCTGCAGTTTACCGATTCGAGGAAGGATCCATGCCAAAGCTCGAGACCCTTGTGCTGAAGTTTTATGTCGGTCAGCAGAGCATAGTTGGAATCGAGCACCTGACCAACCTTAAAGAGGTGCACTTCACTGGTGAGAATAATGGCAACAGGAAAATAATGGAAGATGAACTGGAGAAGCTCAAGCAAGAGAATGAGAGGCGCAAGCGCAACGGCTCCAATCAGTTGACAGTTAAAGTGAGGTATGAGTGATAGATCGTTCTGTTTGCTGCAGCCTGTGCAAGGTGGTGTGGTTGAGTTTGTTAAGTGTTTAGTTCTTGATGGATGTTTTCTTCAAAACTGGAGTATTCGTGAAGTTGTTGTGTAGTTGGTTCTCGTCATGTAAAACTGTACCATTGGGAGTGCCCTACTCGGCGTTTAGGACATGTTCGGCTGGTATTAAAGTCAGCTGAAACTGTTTTGCTGTGAGAGAAAAATACTGTAGATTCTAACTAAAAAGTCTGCTGATAAGTTCAAGCTGTTTTGTATTTTCTTAGCAGTGCATCGTCATCATTCTAATAAAGCTGCGGCAGTTGGGTGTTCTAGTCTTCTAGACGTTACTTGTCCTTCCTGTGTAATTAATAACCTTGCATTCTTACTCCTTGCACTCGCTCTCAACTGCTGCCCTCTAAACAGGCCGGTTTGATATCTATTTCTAAAGTTTAGCCACTAAATTTTAGACTATTTTAGCTTTTGAGACTCCAGACAAGCTAGCTATCTTCGTAAAAACTTTAGACCACGTAAATAAGCTAAGAGTATCTCCAACAGGGCTACCTAAATAGGCCCTACTCTATTTTCTAGTACGTCAACTTTTGTTGTCTATCTATTTTTCTCCTTCCACTATCCACTTCTGTTGTCCCAGTGGATATACAACTATTTTTTTACAGTATCCCCTCCTCGTGCTACCACGTGCGTTGTGCCTCCATTGCCGCTACCCCGATCCTACCCAACACCGGCCACGTCTGCGCCACCGACTGCCCGTCATGCATCTTCCCCGTCGGCGTTGTCCCGTCTCCTCCCCGTCGCCACATACCTCCCGTGTCTGCACCATTCGGACCATGCTCCTCCCACAGAAGGCAATGGCGAGCCCACAAGGAGCGCCTCACCGCCAGCTTCCTCCCGTCCCCCTTTCCTCAGCCCTTCCTCGATGGTGGATGCCCCATTGGTGGCCCTCTCCCGTGAGCGCTTGAGATGGCCAAGTTTTTCAGTGGCGATGATAGATAGAAGAGGATAGCATGTGGGTCCCACATGCCATTCTATACTAGGATGCATTTGGGAGGCCTGTGTTAGGTAGTGTTGCGGTAGGAAAAAAACAAAAAAAAATTGGGTAGAATCAAAATAGGTGGCTATCCAGCAGGAAAGTAGGGGCCTGTTTTAGGTAGTAGTGTTAGAAATACTCTAAAGTGCTTTAAAGTTTAGGTCACACCATGGTCTAAAGTTTAGCCACCAAACTTGAGACTACTCTAGCTCTTGAGGCTCTTTATTTAAAGTTTTAGTCATCAACTTTAGCCGACTAAACTTTAGATTAGATAATTCAAACAGGTCCTAAGTCCCTCTTTCAAAATCTAAGATTTATCCTAAGTCCATCTTAAATTTTGAACAAGTTTACGAAGCGAATCAGGTTGAATAAAATATATGCATTTAAAATTAGAGTTGATTGAGAGGACTTAAATTTAATTAGTTGGAATATATGACCGCACCTTGCACAAGAGCTGGGACTTGGCCGTGCCATTCGAGTGCAGGCTATGGCACGATCCAAGCATAGCACGACACGAACGCGAGGGCTGTGCTGTACCCAGAATATCGACATGACGGTCTACATGGTCCGGCCCGTATTTTTGGGCCGTGCTTAGGCGCACGGCACAAAAATACCACGTAAGCACATCTATAGCACGGCACAAAAATAGCACGTAAGCATATCTATAATGCTACAATACAATTTTCTTTCATTTATTATACTATCTCTCGTATAGTTACTGAATAGATTATAAAAACCAATAATGCACACAAAATATAATTTTTATGTCACGAGCGGGACAAATAAAACTAGAAACGACTGGAGACCTCCCCGGCTTCTTCAGTCCTTGATCCATGCAAGACTCCATTTTGCCAGAGAGAAACTGTTTATATCATTAATGCTCCATTAAGTGGAATCATTGCCGCTGCTAGCCCATCATCATCCTTGAGTCCGGTTGGGCACTCAAACTATCGTAATTTTTATGTACATTAATTATTCTGTCACCTAAATATTTTGTTGATGTGAGAGGTAGAGAGGAGGAAATGGTCTTTTAAGAAACCACATAAAGAGATATGATAGGCAGATGAGGAAGAGAAAAGATATGTGATTGGGAAAAAGATTATTATGTAGAAACTATCTATTAGGAATGTGGTTTTTATACGTAGTGTCTATGTGCGTAGAAACTATACATGGCTTCTAGCATTGAGATTGCCCTCAATAACAACGGTCCTGACATCCCCTTCTTGCGTTGCTTGATGCCCCCTAGACAGCGGCTCTTGGAAATTGTTGTTGCACATAGACCAGGTCTTTATGAAATTGCATCTATGAAATGACAGCAATGGGGCACTGACCTGTAGCAAGTAGCAACCTCCCGTGGTCCCGCTTAGACCCTGTTCGTTTGATCTTGATATAGAAGCAATTGAAGGGGTAGAGGAGGATTTTGACTTTGAAAGGTACTGAATACCTCTCAGTCGCCTCCAATCCTTTGGTTTGGGGATCAAACGAACGGAGGCTTCACGGGTCACAGCATGGACCGCCATGCCCGCAAACGAGTCTAGTCTGTGGAGCCGTTTGATATTTGTACCCGTTAGTTGATGCGCCTTGATCTGTTACACAGTGTATAATATAAACTGTAATTTAGATTCTGTATTTTCTTTTTCTCTTTTTTGCCAGGCAGCACAAGTTGCTGGTGAAGTGAACTCCTGGGTAGAGAAAGTGACCTCAGGTCTAATCAAAGAGCTGCTGCCACCGGGATCTGTTGATCAGACCGCCAGGCTGGTGGTTCTTGGCAATGCATTCTATTTCAAAGGAGCTTGGACTGAGAAGTTCGACGCATCTCAGACAAAAGATGGTGTGTTCCACCTTCTTGATGGGGGCTCAGTTCAAGCACCTTTCATGTCCAGCAGAAAGGATCAATATATTGCGTCTTACGACAACTTTAAGGTGATTAAGCTCCCTTACCAACGAGGTGAGGATAAGAGGCAGTTCTCCATGTACATACTTCTTCCAGAAGCACGAGATGGACTCTGGAGCTTGGCTGAAAAATTGAGCTCTGAGCCCGAGTTCATGGAGGAGCATGTCCCGACGAGGAAAGTTCCGGTTGGGCAGTTCAAAGTCCCCAAGTTCAAGTTATCCTTTGGGTTCGAAGCAACCGATTTGCTAAAAGGATTGGGGGTTGAGCTACCATTTAGCTCAGAAGCAGATCTGTCAGAGTTGGTTCATTTGCCAGCAGGACAGAAACAGAACCTGTGTGTTTCATCCATTTTCCACAAGTCGTTTGTCGAAGTAAAGGAGGAAGGAACGGAGGCCGCCGCCGCATCTGCTGTAGTGGTTATGCTCTGTTCATTCAGGATGCCCACGGATTTCATCGCGGATCACCCTTTCCTGTTCCTGATTCGTGAAGACACAACTGGTGTGCTGCTGTTCGTCGGTCATGTGGTGAATCCCCTGCTTGCTCCATAGAGGCAGACCATAGTTCTGAACTGCTGCCTTTGTGCGATCCCATCCGTTGCATGCTGAGTACAGCATTGCGATATTTGATAAATAAGTGGATTGATCGATGTATGCAAGGTTGTGCGATGATACACTGTAATAATCAACATACATGGTTCCTGTTTACTATTCAGATGAGACATGTTGGTTAAGTTCTTTGATGAAATATAAGGTACAGAAGCTCATCCGGTCCAGTTTACCATCTTTTTTCTTTTGTATTTCGTATGTGAATCTTCTATTATGCCAGGTACAGGAGCTGCTCAGCAAAATTCACTGAAGGTGAATAAAGAAATAGATTTTTTTTATCTTAGTTGGATTACAGTATTCCATTCTTTATACCAACTATGAATGCATACAACCACTAAATCTATAATAAACATTTAAATAGGTGACAGGCGTTTCAAAGATAGTGCCTTTGTGATTCAACCGTGAGATACAGAAGTCAAAAGACACCAAATCTGAGAAAGATCTCCAGCGGGTTCTCAAAAGATTGTGAGATACGGATGAAATGAAAAGAGAACAGGCAATGGAGTTTCTTTATTTTCCTACACCAAATAATATGATACAAACACAGTGTAACAATAATAATACAAGTACATCGCCGTCCCTTAGTTGGGGATGCAGAAACAAAGGGTCTTCTCAGATGAACGAGGTTCTAGTAGTAGCAATTCCAAAGGGCTAAACTGTTGTAAAACACTGGAGGCGCACCAAACAACAGCCAAACACAACAGGGTGATAAAAAGGGGCATCACGGCATCAGGCGTGAGCAGCATCAGCTAGCAGATGCCTGCAAGTACAATACAACTACCAGCAGCACACACCCCTTTTCGTCCCACTATTTATCTTGGTAACCTGCGACGCAACAAAACCATCTGAGCGCGGTTGATGATACACATTGCCTCGTTGCTGAGTATTCGATGCTGTCACATAGCATAAACGATCTCCCCACTGCTTTCCAGGTCAAGATCGGCATCTGAGTCTAGGTCCTCCATGTCATCGTCGAGGTCAAGGCCATCGTTCAGGAGCTGGTTGAGCCCACGGGAACCAGCTGCTGGAATGGTCGCCTCAGCCAGGATCTGCATGATCTCATCCATGCTCTGCATCGGTTGTTCGGGCTCCTCATACTGCTTGTTCATTGTGCTGTCATCCATTAGGTCAGCTGAGAGGTTCTTCAAGAACCAAGGATGGTTTCTTATCTCTGGGATGGTGATCCTCTGTATTGCAATGTCAGTGATTTGTTCAAAGCAAACATGTGCAGAAGATAATGAAACATTATAAAGCCAGAAGTACTCACAGTGGCTGGGTTAGCGACAAAAATCCTAGAAATAAGATCTTGGCATTCTGGAGATATGTGGACATAGTCTGGAATTGAGTACTGCACACCCAATATTCTCTGCCAAAGAGATCTCGTCAGTGTTTAGTCAAAATGGGCAGCCAATTCAGAAATTCTGATGTGTAAATACGGCTGCAAAGGAAACCTGAATTGTCTTCCTGAAATTCTTAGGTTCATCTGGGTCCTCAAATGGATATGCACCAACCAGCATCACATAAAGGGTCACTCCGCATGACCACACATCAGCAACCTTGGTTCAGTAACAAAGAGTTAGTGACTGATTTAAATCCCAACCTTCCAACATAGTTCCCTACAGTACATGGCTATACACCATGCATGTATAAATGCTTTGCCACATAAACATGTTGCTCGTGCGTATTCATAGAAACAGCATGGGAAGTGTAGATTTCAGATGTATGCAGGACAATACCTTTCCATCGTATTCCTTCTTCAGAAGAACCTCAGGAGCAATGTATGCAGGAGTTCCCACTGTAGATTTGGGCTGAGAGTGTAGAACTGATGACTGCAATGCAAAAAGAGTTATAAGCAGAGCAACAGTTTAAGGAGACAAAATTCCCACAAGATGACAATTTTTTTCTTTTCTTTTTGAAAGGAACCAGATAACAATATGTACTGAATTATAAGCAGATGATTCAGTTAATTTATTCTTGACTAGGTCATGGGCTGCTAACTACAGTTATTAATAGTCTTGCTCCTCATTTGGTACGTATATTATAACAGGGTAAAGTGTGCCCTATTAATTGCATCTGCATTTCATTTCCCCACTAAATTCGTAAATAAACAGAGTGAGCATCTAGCAGTACCTTTGAGTAGCCGAAATCACATATCTTGAGGCGAGGCGCGGTGCTCCCGTCCAACAGGGTGTTCTCTAGCTTCAAGTCACGATGGCATACTTGCTTGACAAAGAGGTAGGCAGAGAACAGAGCAATTTTAAACAGACAAGACCAGTACAGTACTAAGATCCATCTGCTATATTTGGTAATAATATTGGAAGGGAAGAAAATAAAGAGTAGTAGTACCATGGAGTGGCAGTAGCTGACCCCTGATATGAGTTGCTGGAAAAAGAAACGCGCCTGAAAGGAGCTTTGACAGTTGATTAGTCAACCATGTTTGTACAGGACAGGTAGGAGTGGCAATACTAGTACAGAAGACAGACAGCACGAGTGACAAGCAGGGTTGATGAGAGCGAGAGAAGAGGAAAGAGATGGACCTCGTCCTCGCTGAATCTGCCGGCGTTGCAGATGCGCTCGAAGAGCTCCCCGCCGGAGGCGTACTCCATGACGATGGCGAGGTGCGTCGGGGTGAGGATGACCTCCTTGAAGCGGATGATGTTGGGGTGGCGCAGGGAGCGGTGGTTGATGATCTCCCGCTGCACGTTCTCGTCAATCTGCAGTGGGTGGGTGGTTGATGATGCTGGTGTTGGAGAGGCAGGTAGGCAGGCAGTCGAGTAAAGAGTGCAAGGCACAGCAGCAAGCGCTAGCGAAAACCAACCTTCTCGCCTCGCTCGATGTACTTGACGGCGACGAGCTGGCCGTCGGCGCGGTTGCGCATGAGGCGCGCGACGCCGAAGTTGCCGGAGCCGATGTCGCGGACGAGCTCGTAGCGGTCGCCGTCGTGCATTATGGGCATGTCCATCCCCGGCCCCACGGTGAGCGCCGCCCGGTCCATCGCCGTCGTCCTTCTCTCGCCGGCGCCAGCCAAAGCAGCAGCTGGTAGGCAAGGGTCGAGCAGTCCACCAGCAGCGTACCGGCCCGCGGCGCGCGTCCCGTGACCCCCCGCGATCCAAGAAGCGAAGCGAGCCTCTCCCGCCCTTTTAGCTCCGGGGAAAGAGGTGGGAGGGAGTATAAAGGAGGCGGCGCTGGCGGATTTGGTTGGGCCCGGTTGGGCGGAGGAGGAAGCACACCTCGTGATCCCTTCCTCGTCTTCTCTCTCTATCACCTCGCCCTTTTTTCCCCACCTCGCTCGCTGCCTTTATTTTTTTTATCTATTGTTTATCGTCATCTTCTTCCTCTCTCCCTCTCCCACTGGTATGTGTTTTTTTTTTTTTTGCCTCGATTTGAATACAAGCCTTAGTATTTGAAGTCATGCACTAACTCACACCATATGCACACATCCTAAGGACAGGTACAATAACAGTCGTATCACCAAACGTGTCAGAAGCTTTGCCAATCTAAAGGAGAGAGAAAACATAACACGGGACTGCTTGGCGTTGCAAAAGTCGACTAGCTGATCATATATTCCCATGCAAAAAAAAAAGTTGCTGCCTTTTCTACGATGATTAGCGAGCAGCGTGAGAGGGAGGGTAAGAAAGAGAGTATGGAATAGTTGAATGGTGAGACCATTTCAGTACTAAAAAATACATATTAAATTAGTTGTAGATAAGTTGTTGTATGGTTTGGCTATGAGAACTTATCTTATAGCCGAGCATTTGTCTCAACTATTGAACTTGCTCTAACACACACACACACACATATAGTGTGCAAATTAGATCTACAACCTATATCTAAGACTAAGAGAATATGGCTAAAAAATATGACAGTGGTGGCACATTCGTGCGAGGCAACTGGAATTACGCATCGAACCCGGATGGGTGGCCTGCACACCCGCAGCACACACCACTTGGTTCTCTGGTCTGTGTTGTTTCACTAAGCAAGAGAAAAAAATGGTTTCTTCGGTTTCTCTCTCTTCCTCTGTCCCTTTCCCTCCCTCGCGGGTTGCGGCGGAGCCTAGCAGCTGCCCAGGCGAGGCAAGACGAAGCAAGAAAGATGGTGCAGACTGCTGCGGTTGCCGAATTTTTTGTTTTTAGCTCTATTTTTGAAAAAAATTATAAATATGCCCCTGGAGGTATGCTTTCAAAATCTGGACCCTTAGCTCGGCGCCATCGTTAGTAGCGCCGAGCTTACACGTCTCGGCGCCATAGATTTTGTCGCCTAGGTCTTGGGCTCGGCGCAGACGTGGCGGTGACTTCGCAGTGTATCTTGGCGCCGTAGATCTTGGCGCCGAGCTTGACGCCGTGATTATTAGCGCCAAGCTTAGCGTCGTGGTTATTGGCGTCGAGAACGACGTCAAGATCTATGACGCCAAGGTGGTGTTTTAACCCGGCACCCAACCTTCCTGCCCGAGCCTTCCTCCTCTTCTTTCTCCTCCCTCTCGGGTATTTTCTCTCCCCACTTCGTCCTACCTCACGAATCGGTATATTAGACCTTGGAAACTTTGATTTGATCCGTAGATCTTCGAGAGCAAGGTATCCTCGCTCCCTCCTAGTTTTTTTTCAAATCAATTTGGTATATATTAGTCGGATTTTTCAACTTAAGAATCATCATTACTTAGGGTTTCATGCAATTTTAATATTTATATTATACAACCGTAGGATGCCAAGGCATGGAAAAGCTACCAAACCAAGGTAACCTCAGCGCACGTTGTTATGATATGGGTTCATTGTTGTGGATCAAATGGAAAACCCTAGGTGTAGGGTTTAATATTATTTGCTTTCGGTTCTTAGAACGAAAATGGCTAAATTGTAGTTATAGCCGGATGACCGAAAATGCCTTCGACCCATTGCCTCTGCCTAGTGGTGTTCCAATGCCTATGTGCTTTTGCAGCGATCGTTGCAAGGTAGCCAAGTCCGATGAAAAGGACACGTATAGGCAGAGGTATTGGATGTGTTCCAATTTTACGTTTGAGCCTACACTTCGTCAGCGCCGCATTAACAAGATGGTGAGAAATTGATGTTTATGTCATATGACATCTTGCATGATTTTTTGTTTTGTAATAATTGCATTTTTTGCAGACTCCTCCACCGCTCTGTGATTTTGAGCAGTGGATCGACACTGAGATCAAGCCTGAAGACAAGGAATGGATGCAGAAACTGTTGCGGTGGAAGACAGAGGACAAGAAGATGATGGGGAAAAGACACGGAGAGGAGGCTGCAAAAAAGGAGCACAAGGAAAAGAAGGAAAGGAGGCGTGTTGCTGCGTACAGGGAGGAGAGGGAGAAGAAGCTTGAGCATGCACGCCGAGCAAAAGCAGCGATGGAGGAGAATCCTGATGCCCAGAGGAAAGGAAAGTGGCCTCGTTGCACTCAGTAGTCTCCATTACTTGCTAGTTCTATGGAAAAGCTACCAAACCAAGGTAACCTCAGCGCACGTTATTATGATATGGGTTCATTGTTGTGGATCAAATGGAAAACCCTAGGTGTAGGGTTTAATGTTAATTACTTTCGGTTCTTAGAACGAAAATGGCTAAATTGTAGTTATGGCCGGATGACCGAAAATGCCTTCGACCCATTGCCTCTGCCTAGTGGTGTTCCAGTGCCCATGTGCTTTTTGCGGCGATCATTGCAAGGTAGCCAAGTCCGATGAAGAGGACACGTATAGGCAGAGGTATTGGATGTGTTCCAATTTTGCGTTTGACCCTACACTTCGTCAGCGCCGCATTAACAAGATGGTGAGAAATTGATGTTTGTGTCATATGACATCTTGCATGATTTTTTTGTTTTGTAATAATTGTATTTTTTGTAGACCCCTCCACCACTCTGTGATTTTGAGCAGTGGATCAACACTGAGATCGCCTGAAGATAAGGAATGGATGCAGAACTGTTGCGGTGGGAGGCAGAGGACAAGGAGATGATGGAGAAAAGACGCGGAGAGGATACTGAAAAAAGGAGCATAAGGAAAAGGAGGAAAGGAGGCGTGTTGTTGCATATAGGGAGGAGAGGGAGAAGAAGCTTGAGCGTGCACGTCAAGCAAAAGCAGCGATGGAGGAGAATCCTGATGCCCTGAGGAAGGGAAAGTGGCCTCGTTGCACTCAGTAGTCTCCATTACTAGATAATTCTATGGTTTATTCATGAACAATGTTGTCTACTGTTGGACTTTTCATTGTGTTGTCATATAATGCACTTTAAGTATGGGCATGCTTAGGTCATGTACTGCGTTATTTAGTTTATCGGCACATACTTCTAGTATTATTGTGTTGTTTAATGTGTCATTGTATTAGACTTTTTATTATGTAGTTGTTTTCATTATTTGTGGTCAAAATATTCAGTTTGATATTGCGTGCGTAGTAAAATATGATCACGTGCTACAAACAAAACCTAACGAAATAGGGCATTATATAATTCAACACATAAAACACATAAAATGCCATGTGAGAACATGTACTAAACTAGGGTACAGAGGTCCTAAACTAAACCTAATATGCCTTAGGTAATTGAAGCGAACAACAAGCACAAGAAATTATATGTGAGAACATGTACCAAACAAGGGTACATAGTTTCTTTGACTAAACCTAACATGCCTTAGGTAATTAAACTAAACAACAAACACATGGATGTGCCACGTGAATAAGATAGGATCGTCCTAGTAGTGTGGCCACATAGCAAATTATGTTGCACCTTCTCCACAGTAGCCTCCCATTTTAGTTGGTGGCGGTGGCGGGGCTGATGGCGGAGGCTCCTTGTTCTTGTGATTAGGGCAGGTGAAAGGTCCTAATGGCTAGAGGGGGTGAATAGCCTATTAAAAATTTCTACAACAACACTTAGCAAACCGGTTAGACAATTATGATGCGAAGCAAGTGTTGCGCTAGCCTACTAAAATTGCAAGCCGCCTACCATAATTCTATTCTCTATCAACACAATGGCTATGTTACTATACTAAGTTAGTGTGTTCTCAAAGACTAACTAAAGAGCCACACTAACTAAACTAACAAGCTCTCACGACTAGCTACACTAAAGAGCTTGACAACTAGTTTACGGTAATGTAAAGAGATAGAGTAAGATGGTTATACCGTCAAATCGAGGAATGAACCAATCAATCATAAGAATCAATACCAATGAAAACCAATCACCTCGGAATCAAATGATGACACAATGATTTTTTACCAAGGTTTCCTTGCTTGCCGGCAAGCTAGTCCTTGTTGTGGCGATTCACTCACTTAGAGGTTCACGCCCTAATTGGCATCACACGCCAAACCCTCAATAGGGTACCGTACAACCAACACAAGATGAGGATCACACAAGCCATGAGCAATTCACTAGAGTACTTTTTGGCTCTCCGCTGGGGAAAGGTTAAGAACCCCTCACAATCACCATGATCGGAGTCAGAGACAATCACCAACCTCTGCTCAACAATCCTCGCTGCTCAAAGCTGTCTAGGTGGCAGCAACCACCAAGAGTAACAAGCGAATCCCGCAGCGAAACACGAACACCAAGTGCCTCTAGATGCAAACACTCAAGTAATGCACTTGGATTCACTCCCAATCTCACAAAGATGATGAATTTATGATGGAGATGAGTGGGAGGGCTTTAGCTAAGCTCACAATGTTGCTATGTCAATGCAAATGGCCAAGAGGGTGAGCTAGAGCCGGCAATGGAGATTAAATAGAAGCCCCCACGAAATAGAGCCGTTGTACCCCTTCCCTGGGCACTGCTCGGAGCGACCGGATGCTCCGGTCAGATCGACCGGAGGCAGGACCCCAGCGTCCAGTTGCGCGATGCACGCCATGTGGCCTCTGCTTCAAATGCTGATCGTCTGATCTCAATGGTCATCAGTGCACTTAAGTTGTGTCCGACGCGCTGCTCAAAGTGATCGGACGCACCAACACCAGCGTCCGGTCGTTTCTAGTAAGGTTGCACTCGTGACCAGACGCGTCCGGTTGATCACGACCGGACGT